TGAACAACAAAATCAATGTAAATAAAAGTGATGAAAATAGCATATGTAGTGGTACAATTGTGATATTCAAAATTGATAGTAATGTAAAGGAGACTGATGAAAGTAAAAAAACGAATTGGTGGTTAATACAAGCAATAATAAAATGTGTCAAACGGATAATAGAAAGTTTGGATACTCACTTAAGGCAAATAGTGAAGTGACCTTGAACATAGAATTCATTGATGAAAGATCCACAGATAAAGTAGCTAAAATTAGAATTGATAAGAACGAATATAAGGTGTTCAATTATTATCAAAATCTTGCCAATATGATTGAGATACCTTGTGAAGTGGGATCTATTGATGGAATAAGTATCGTTAGCGATTGCTATAAATATGGAACTGGCATTGAAAGAGACGAAAATAAAGCTTTCGAATATTATCAAAAACCAGCAGAGACAAGTTATGCTGATAGAATATGCAAAAGTAGGTCTTGCTATGAAAATAGAAATAGAAATTCGAATGGAAGAAATAATCTCGAATCCTATCTTAGTGAAAATATAGGCACAACCAAGGAGAATGATGAAGGTAGGACAGTTGTTGCTAATGGGAAAAATGTCAAATCTGGAGGATCTAGCTCAGATTTTAGAGCCAGAGGTCGTAAGAAGATAATACTGATGAATGAAAGAGAACTAAAGATAAGAAATAGAATGTTTTCGATGATTAGTAGCAATATGAGCTGATGGCAATGTCAAAACGTAAGACCTAGGGTGTTAAAGGTTAATGTCAATCAGGAGCGTGTTATATCGAATGATGTGAAGGAGATCAATTTCATGAAATGCTTATATTTGGATCAATTGGCTAGGTGTGATTGCGAATATTTGAAAAGCATTGTTTTTAGAAGTCGTTTGGAGAAGAGGAAGCTTGGGCTTGGGCGGATAGATATTAAGACGCTATAATGCTAATAATAGTGAAAAAAAAAAAAATTTAGTGTTTATACGTATATTAATATTTAGGTATATGAGTTAGTATTAGTTAAGTCATTTGGATAGCATGAAATTGGATTATAGCGCTAGTGAATTTGTTGTTGTAACTTCAAGGACGAAGTTATTGGGGTTCTAGCTTGTGTCACAATGCTACACGGTACCTATGTGACTAGTGATCGGGTACGTGTTGATCGAATATCGTAATCAGGATTTGCATGAATGGCGTGATCACGATTTAATTAAAAGTCTAAAATAGTGATTGCATGAACAATATAGTAATTAGTAGTGATTAGTAATAATAGTGATTGCATGAACAATATAGTAATCATTAGCGATTAGCAATAAATATAAAGCATCAATCCAAATAGTGAAAATGCTTAGTTTTTTCGTTCCATTAT